ATAATGGTTGGCGATATAGGGTTAAAAGGTAGTGCAATAGTACAATACAGTACATGATTAAAATATAGTACAATAATCAATAAAAGAGGAGCGTCATATATACAAAGAATTGGTAGTGACAGTAAGAGAATATTCGCTCATTGACAATGCATTAAAAATAAGTTGAAGATTAAAAGTCATGCTGGTTCAACAATCGAGTCAGGTAGGGTATTGGTGAGTTTCTGTATCTCTGTGTTTTAGCCTTTGGAATGTCAAGTTTTTGAGCATTTCTGGTACTTCTGCCTGTGATGCTAGATCTGCGTCTCGGCAACCAATGCTCGAACTCAGACTTGATAAGTGATCTGGCAAAGTTCAGGCACAGAGTCTCGCGCCTTTCGGCAAGCGTTGTGAGTTTCAGATGTTCGAGTGAGCTTGCATATCCGGTATAGGCAGGACCCATGATGATCCGACAGGCTCTACGTTGTATCCGCTCCAGCTGATCAACTTGTTGTTTAGAAAGTCCCGGGGACCAGACGGGAACAGCGTACTCCATAAGTGGACGGATGTATGCAGTGTAGATGATTAGGAGTTCATTTTGTGAGAGATTAAACTTCCTGAGACGCTTGAGAATAAACAGTTTCCTGGCGGCGTTTGCAGACATATGATTGACCTGTTCATTCCAACGTAGGTCACTCTGAAGGCGGAGGCCGAGTATCTTCAGGCAGGGGACAACAGACAGAACTGAGGAGTCAATCCGCAGTGGGGGTAACAGTGGTGGGTTTCTGCAGAATGTAATGTGCATTGCCATGCACTTGCTACTGTTCAGGAGCATGTGGTTGTCCATTGTCCAGGAATGTAGTTGGTCAAGGTCGTTTTGGAGTACAGGACGGCAGATGGATGGATCTTGTTTCAGAAAGTTCATGTCGTCTACGTATTTCAGGGCATAACTGACGGCATCACTAGCGGCATCGTCGATCAAAACGAGGAAGAGTATAGGTCCCAGTAATGTGCCTTGGGCAACTCCGCAAGAGAGGGTAACCCAGTCGGAAAGGGCTCCTCTATACCGTACTCTCTGTTTTCTCGCAGAAATGAAGTCGCACACCCACGGAACGAGCTCGGGCCTACAACCTTGTTGAGCAGCTTAGTGATCACTGTATTATGGTCCACTCTGTCAAAAGCCTTAGTAAAATCAGTGGCTACAATGGTGCTGATGGTTGATGGTGTGTCGGCTCCAAGGGATAGTCTGTCCACCAGGCTTAAGAGGGCGTGAACCGTGGAGCGGCCCTTTAAGCTGCCGAACTGCCGTTGGTCTAGCTTAATGTCGTCAGTAATCCACTTAGAGGCAAAGAATTCCGCAATCTTAGCAAACTGGGGGGTCAGTGATATGGGCCTCAACTTGTCCAGTGTAGCAGGTTGGGACTTTGGAACAGGCACAACCACGGCTTGCTTCCACTGGTGAGGGACCACGCCAGTTGCAAATGACGCATTGAGGATGTGGCAGAGGGGAGAAGTCAGCTCACAGGCAAACTCTTTAATCAGTTTCGGTGGGATGTTATCAGGGCCTGAGGCTTTGTTTGGCTTTACTGCTCGAAGACGCTGGTAGACATCCCAGTCAAGTAACCTTGGCAGCTGTTCAGGGGAGGGGAGGAATGATGGTAACAAGGAGGTGTTCAGCTCGGGTAGGGCATTAGACACCTCGGCGAAGCTTGAGTTGATGATATTTGCGGTGGCGAGGTCATCATCAGCTGGAATGCCAGGAACTGTAATCGTACTATTGGGTTTCTTCATGTTAGCCATCTTCATGACTTCCTGGTGCCAGCGTTTTGGATTGGCGGATTTCAGCTTGCTAACTCTGTCTGCATGGTATGTCTTTTTAGCTTTGGCCAACGCTCTTTGTGTCAAGTTCCTGTAGAATCTAAAAGCCAGTGGGGTTTGGTTGTGGAATGCCCTTTGCCTCAAGGTGATCAGCTGCTTAATGTGAGGAGTAATCCACGGTTTATCGGTGCTGTGGATTTTAACGGTCCTGGCTGGGAAAAAGGTGTCAATAGCAGTTTATTGCAATGTGTTAATTTATGAATTTTACATAACGTGTACAACATATTGATAAATGCGCTGTAGAAAAGAGAAATTTCCAATCATCATCAGGTTTTTTGCAAAACATATCAGACTGAGCATGTCTGAACATATTGCAAATCTTTTCATTCCATTTTTTGTTCCCAAATTACTTAAAAGCATATTCCAAAAACTGGCATTTTTCAAGTGCAACAGCATAACGTAGATTTTATGCCAATTTCTGGTCTTAAATTGGCCATAGCATAAGTTTTAAACATCTTAACACCAAATCTCTTCCTGATTGTCTGGAAAATAACTGTACTAGTATAACAAGTTTGATAAATGTCAACAGAATGCGATAAATACAGAGTAAGATTGACATAACGAAGCACGATGCCATTGGCGCACCCTGATCTCGGAATAGCCGTAAGGGCAAGGCTCATAAGATAGCATGTAAATATAGCATAATCCTCACCGATAAAACCAAGTTGTGAAAACTCCAGTATCATCCACTCCTCTGTTTTCTGTTGCAAAGCAAAGTTCTTCATGGTTGATATGTAGCCTGGCTTGCCTATGACATCATCTTCCAACTGTAGAACAAACAACATTTACATGTTATTATTACATACACACATTACATTTACATATATATTATGATGATTATTCTTCTACACATATGTCAAAACTTGAGTGATATAAGGCATTATTGTAAATATCTAAATTTGTTGAAGTAAAGTGATATATTAACCTGTAGATTCCGACATGATTGTAATTTGTATTTCCCTACTATTAATTAATGATTTATATTGTAAACAAACATCAGAATTCAGCCCTGTATGTTAAGGCTGCGAGATATGTTGTTGTTGATACATTGATACAAATAAACCAATAAATAATGTATGTCAAGCAGTGAGTGAGAGATGTATGGGCCTTGATACAACACCTGATTTTGGTATGCTTTGCTTATTTTGTAATTATAGAATATATATATATATATTATGTTGCACTGTAATAAACTGCAGGGGGCATCAAAACTAATGTAAATCTGATGTTTACAACTTAGAGAAGACTAGTAGTTTCTGTAGTGGTACTGTACTTTCTTAGGTCAGCTTTGACTTGTAACCTATTTCATGTTTTATGCCATGAGAGCAGCTCCAAATGTACCCACATATAGCCAACATTAGTAGTGGTGCAACTGATAGGTAATTAGGCTATATATAGGATACCTTTTTGAGTCTCTTGTGTGCATATACATTACTGCGTCGTGTATTTGTAAAAATATGAGTCATGACTTTTGCTCTGTTGTGTACAATCTACCCTGAGTTAAGAGTCTTGCATACGACTAGTTAAAACAAATTTGTAACAAAGCAGAAAAAACTCCTGACCTGGACATAGAACTGCCCTTTTGGTTGACAGTACATCATTAGGAAAGAAAAATCTAAGTTCTGCTTGGTTCTCCACCTGTAGGGTCAGAAGTAATAAAGGAAAGATCAACATACAGCAATCAAAGAATCTCATGAAGTATATCATAATTGTTGTTCGAGTATGTTGGATGTATAATCAAAAGTAAATACTGTATATGTCTGTCAAAAACAACTTTCAGCCATTCAGCACCAAGGACAAAACTATTCCACACCAGGGACAATAGTATATAGTGTGTCCTGAAAAAAAAACACCTTTTTCTCAATAGGATATAGAGATGGTGTGTATCATCATCAATCCTGTATAGCCTGGTTACCAGACCTATTTTAGCTCCCAAGTTTATATCTTCTCTACTTGTGGAGAGGATATAGACTCGGGAGCTAAAATAGGTCTGGTAACCAGGCTATAAACTGTTAAGAAATCTGATTACTATTTACTGTATGCTAACAAAAGTTCTACCCTACATAGAGGTGTTGTTTACATACTTGACTCTTTCTTTGGGGTCACCAAAGGTCTCTTTGAGTGAGTCCAGGTCAGGGTAGAAACCAGCCGGTGGGGAGATGATCTCTAACAACCCTGACTCTATAGGAGCCTTGTAGCTGCAACAACATGGTAGGGAAAATGACAGTCAATGTAAAGGAACATTTAATTCAGTAACTTGATGAGAGGGAAAGTGATGCAATACATTTCCTATGCTCTCACACTTGGGGAAAGATCATGATACTATCACTGGCATATTTTCGGCCTAAATTATCAAAGACACCAAACTGGAGTGGTTTCAAAGGTACTTGTGAGCTTTTTAATGGTTATGGCTCTTCATTTCTGAATTAGCAATTCTGTACCACTGTAACTGTAATCCTAGCCATATGTCTAACATCAAAATATTGCTCATTTAAAATTTTATGTCCATCCACAGCCAGGCTATGAGCATACTAAATACATAAAATACTGACAGTAATACCCAGGAGTTACCCAAGATTGTATATTGTTTACCATAAAACTTTGGTTTTAAGATGGCAACAGATGTTGGCAGACTTACCTTTCTTTGACCATCTCTGCAATTCTATGTACATAGTCTTGTTCAGTCTGCAACAAAGGATGCCATATATTATGGTGTGGTATAACATCAACATGTACAGAATTAAAAAAAAAAGTTACAGAAAGAGACAATAACAAGTGAGCAAATATGATTGCCATAAAAACAAAATTGCCTTATTTAACGACTTGAGATGGTAATAAATATCGTATGACCATTTGGTTAACTCTTGTCTGGAATTATTACTAGGCCTGGTGAGATTTTAGTGGCATTTTACACCTCAGTTGATTTTGAACAGTCAAATGTTACAGCCTCATAAGTTTCAATGCGATGCACGTCCATATTAGGTAAAAGTGTAATCTAAATGGTTTACATTGTCAACCAATAACCAGGGAGCAATCCATCAATGCCAAGTGCGGGGCATAGCTGTACATAATACAGTCAGGATATGATCTAACGGCTGTCAATTCAAATACCGGCAACTGGCTGTCGAGGGAGGTTGAAATGAAGGTCAAGTTATGGAAGATTTGAGGGAGGTTTGATAACATCTTGATTTTGTAATAAAGAATTTGATTGGCTCAAAGGACAAGTTTGATGTACTCTGACATTCCTATTGGCCTGAAGTTGAAATGACCTGTAGTATATTGATGTACCAAACAACCTGATTGGCCCAAAGGAGAAATCAAACAGGAATTGAAAGAAAAATTCTAACTGTGACAAGAAAAACTATTGTTTCAAACTACTGCATGGTCCTAAAATGACTCTCAGTATTTTGATGCTGTAATAAACAAACTGATTGGCCAAGGGGCAAATTGTGCATTGAGGGTATGATCTGTAAAAAGCAATTTTGTTGTACATGTATGCACAGTTTTTTAAATAACACAGAGTAACTCCTGGGAATCAAAAGTAATTTTTGACCATTGGGCAACAAAATATGTGTACCTTTTCCATTAGTTTAACATGCATAGTAGTATGTCCACGGTCTTTTAGCTTTTAAACTGTCAACAACTGAAACAGAACTCAAGTGATCTGACATTTTAAATCCATTCCAACCCTACCCCAGGCCTATAAATGCCACATGATGTCATATACAGGCCCTGTGCTTCTGCAGTTCACTGATGATACATCGCTTTAAGACCTCCAGTGTTTTATAGAGGGTCCGTTTTGGAGTCAAGAGGTTCGTGACCTTTCCTGCTTCCGTCCGTGGCAACGTTCCATCTTGCCACGTTACGCCGCCGCGCAGAGGTCAAATGTTACCTGCCAGCTTGTGCCAAAGTCTCAGTACAATTTAGCAAGTTTACTATCAACCAGTTCTACTGTACCGACACAGCTGCAGCACTGTGTATTCCTGATACACACACCCCTGCCAGTTTAATCTGTTGGTTCTACATGTAAGATTAAAAAGAATAACACTCAACTGGAAAATCGAAATGAAAACAGAGTCTAAAGGAACATCTGCACATTGGTACACATACTTTCAAGGAATGGGTATAGCTATGAATATAAGATGTAACTTGAACTTTTTCCTGTGAACCTATGGCCCTTATCTTGACTTCTTCTTTCTTTTAACTTGAAAATGTCAGAAAACCAAGGAAATGAATTGATGTGGCCTAATGTATGGGTTCTAACCTAGATGGATGGATAATGTACAGAGATTGGAGCACTTAGATTAGAGGTTCTCAAGAAGGATTTAACACTGTTAGATTACATACATTTAGGAAGGTGTTATTAGAGTAATGTTTCAGGGCAGTAAATGCCAACAGCATCAGGTGCCAGGTACTGAATGTTTAATGGTGGAATTTGTGTGGAATTTTTTCCACAGGGAGTACAGTTTGGGTCAAATGAGGTGAGAAAAGCTGAAGTATCTTATTGCAAAAATCGTATTGCAAAAATGAAAAAAAAAAGTACTTCAAGCCCTGAACTTACTTATACATTAATACACATAGAGCAACCTTCCAATGTATAAACTGCCTGGCTTAGATGCTCATGCCTTTTCTGCTCTACTTTCCTCAACCCAAAAACTATAAAGTCTATCACAGCCCAAATGCAGTCAGGGCATGACCAACACCCCACTATAGTTTGATCTATATATAACTTTATAAGTCTCGCTGGACTCGGGTCATAGACCACACCTTTTGTGACATCTTTGCCATGCATGACTGTCCGCCATATTTCATAAAGGCAATCTAGTGTCCTGTAATCTAACACAGTGTACTGAATATTCTTGCAAACAAAATTTTACTGTCAAATAATCTCATAAATGTTCTAAAGCCAAAATGAAAGCCCTGGTTTCTGCGCATGTTTCGATAGATAATATGATCAACGTGTTATCAGAGGCCCAAAATGTTATTTGGCACAGTTGACATTTTAAAAGTCAGTTCAGGCCATCAGAGTTGGGGCAGAACATTCAAAGTCATTTATAGTTTTTGATGACCTTTGGAGAAAGAATGGGTACAAGTTGTAAATATTTCATGGGTAAGACCTGTGTAGCATACAATATATGAAACTAGCAGTTTGTAACAGTGACTGTTGGTTTTTGACTGCTATTAAGATTATCAATTTTAGTTTGGATTTCCCAATTTCTTGTAGAGGGAGTATTAAGGGAGACATAGTAATTTCTGAAAGCTCTCAACCTAATATATAAGCATTGCTTTACAGTTGTACTTCCTATACAGAAAGAACAATGTCACAAGTGTAATTGGGTCAACCTAGTACCGGTAGCCATCTAGCCACACCTAGGCAATAATATGTTCAACGCAATTCGGTGGTGTGAACCATACAATAGAGTTAGGACTAGCCAAAGCTAAGATAGGCATTGGTATGATTTATAAAGGAACACTCACATGGGAGAAGAGACAGTGAAGAGTTCACCAATTGATACATGTACACAGCCAGGACCTAAATGCAGACTGCAGATCCCTGGCTTCTAGCTGGAATTCAGTTCCAGACAGGCTGGTTATCTAGCCCCATCAGTCATATTATATATCACAGAGCTGGAGAGCATTCTGGCACAGTCCTACAGGCTTTTAGGTGTAGATCTCTTGGAATGATTTCTTGTCTCATTCTTTTTTATGGTCACTCCAGAACGAGCCTTATCCCCCTATCTATTTTCCTGCACCACTCGTAAAGTTGCATTCCTATAAATACCGGCACTACAGTAACACTATATATCAGATCCCATATTTTGAGCTCCCTTCATTTTCATCTTCCAAAAAATGTAAGTGCTAGAAATACATTTTATCTCTTACCTGCAAAATTGTAAGTTGTCAAAAATTCTACCTGCAATTTGAAGATGACAAATGTTCTTCAAATATCTATCAAGCCGTTGTTCCTACCAAACTACTGTGTAAGGTTTAGTATGCTGTCCACAACAAGTAGTTAGATGTTATTCAGAAAACATGGGAGAAGCGACATTTACAGTAAATTGCTGCTTGCAGGTGGGTATTTCAATCTGACTATATATATACCCTAGAAATAATACATGACACGCAAGTCCCTATTCTGTTCCACTTGGGTTAGAAGTGAATTAAAGGCCTACCAACTCTGGTCTCCCTGAGGCCCACCTGGATTATACCGGCAATATCCCACCTGCCATAGGATCAGCCGGCTATGAAATATCTCATCTATCATGTGCCCCCCTCCCCCCTGGTAGTACAGTAGGCTAGGTAAGGGATTTGTTGAGTGGTTTCAGTTCATATCTACTGGGAATACTGGCACCGAAGTGACTCAAGTACTAGTGCAACGGATAACAGCACAATTCAATTTTTGCTCCTAGCAAAAAAAATGTTGGTGTATCAGAGTAACTTTTATTTTATGTTTTTTTGGTACATGAAATGGTATGAAATATGATTTTTTTTTGTCGTTAAACTGCAAAATTACATATTTTCAAACTTAACACATTATATCCAATATCATTGTCAAATAAGTTGCTGAAATAGTAAAAGCAAAGAAATAAAACAGAACTCAAACTTTTAATACCTATTCATTCTTTAAGTAAGGAGTAGATAGGAGGTTGATTGCCTGAACATTTCTTACCTACTATTGTCTAAATAATCATTCATGACCAGCAGTTTTGTATTTTGTAGAAGTAGAATTGTTCAATGCCAACTGATAAATCATCCATTGACTGCTCTTCCTGCTTCCCCACATACATTCCCAAATGTACAATAAAATCCATAAAACAAGTCGAGACATATGTTTGGTTTGATACAACTTTATCTTACTGCAGCACATTTATGCACAGATAATCTGGCACATTTATCTGGACTAGATTCAACTTCTATATTTCAAAAGGTAGGAAAAATGACATGTACTCTGAGAAATCAAGATTACATTTAAACTACCAATATACAGCTAAGCTTGCTCCCATCTTCCAAAGGGTGCTGTCAGTTAAGGCTTTCAAGATTGACAAATTTTGTCCATCAAAAAGCCATCACCATTTGTCTAGAAAAGCCTCGTTATGGAGAAAGGTTAAAGCGAAGCTACATCACGATTATCTCTACATCACGCTAACCACGAAGGGCGCTGGTATTCGCGGCATGACCGCTTGACAACCGTTTGTAGGTAATCCCCCCGCCCGCAGAAATGAGGCGGCCTGTCATAACACGAGATGGTCTGCATCGATTGGCGTAATCCCGGCACTAATGCCGCTGCCCAAACTTGGCGTTAAGACTGATCAGTTTTGATGCGGTGGTGTCGGACAGACATCTGTCAGAGTTATAAATCACTGCTGGGCTGGGCCTGGGGTGAGCTGGGAATGTCAATGTGCCTGCAGGATGAACTTGGGAATGTTCAATGTTATGCACAAGCACCATGCACACCAAGACAGCATTAATGTCAAGTCAGTAGTGGGGGAACAAATCAGAACCATGAATACCACATCAACACCGTAGTCATAGCACAGCAATCACTGGTCTAGACTATAAACACTGCCAGGACAGGAAAATCATCTTTTGACCACCGCAACAGCCAAATTAGTACTATGGACAGCATAATCAGTACCATGGACACCATAAATAGTACCGTGGATAGCAATATCAGTACCATGGACAGCAAAAACAATACATGTACCATGGACAGAAGAATCAGTACCATGGACAGCAAAAACAGTACCATGCACAACATAAACAATACCATGGATGGCAAAATCAGTACCATGGATAGCAAAGTCAGTACCAAGGACAGCAAAATCAGTATCATGGACAGCAAGGTCAGCACCAAGGACAGCAAAATCAGTACCATAGCAAAACCATCACTAAACTAGAGGTATACCAAAACCATACCATGAATAGCAAAATCAGTACCATGGACAGTGAAATCATCATTGAATCACCACAAACACCAAGTTAGTTCTGTGGACTGCATAACTAGTACCATGGACAGTGACAACCATCACTAACACCAGATCAGTACCATGGACAGTATAGCCAGAGGTCATACAATAACATAATAGGCATATGCTTACAGTTTTCAACAGATACAGACTGACTATCCTGACATATTTCTCATTACTGCTGCAGCAATACAAGCTAATGACAATGCACTCAAAACTAATCACTCAACACCACTGCTTGCTACATTATCCCAAACAGGGGCTAATTATTATCCATAACACCAACCAAAGTCCAATTACACCTCTCTGGCGTTCTCCTTCCATTGACCCCAGCGCCATGCCTCACGTTCAGGCTGACCAGAATGTGATTGAAACTAGCGAAGCATGTGATTACATTTCGTATGCTGGTATCAAAGGCTAGCTATCTTAGTTTACAGAGTGTATCCTTTTCCTCATTCTCACAAGTAGCAGATGGGACAAAACTGGACAAACTGGATTACAAGTTACCAAAAGAGGGCGTAATATCTATGGGATAAATAATTGGAAAAGCTTGATACATTCATGCACCAATGCTACTTAAAAACAAAGCTCCATACTGTAGTATAGATTGTTGATCGTAAAGGCTATAAAGGAATTTACCCCAACCTGATGTTAAAGTACAGTATATTAAAATTGATAATTTTCCAAAATCAGGCATATAAATCACAAATTGTTACCATCTGTTGAAGACACTTTAAAATTTTGCAGGTTTTGAATCAAAATTTTCTCTTCCCATGCGAAATGGAATTCTTTTCTCAATTTTTTGGTTACATCTGTAAGTATTGAAGGACCCTTAAAATCTTTAAGAATGAAAGATTTCTGACTTCTTTGTTCAAAGACAATTAGAACCTTGATCAATTCTCATTGGAAAGCTGATAAAAAGCATGGATTTACAATACAATTTTGAACTTGAGTTACACAGTTGGTATGATCATGTAATTCCTTTGTTTTCTAAAAGTTTTTGTCTCAAAACACTGAGTCAGACACTAATGGAAAAAAGTTGTGAAAATTATGTAAACTCAATTTTCCTGACAGTGTGTTATTTCATCAGCAACAAACAAAGATAGAGGAATCCATAGATAGGACAATGCAACAAAATCTATTCCATCCCAAAGCACACGTCATGTAGTTCATCACTGGGGAATGACCTCCTGAAATGACTTAGGTGAAATGTTCTTTCCACCCCATCTTGGTGAAATTCAATAAGCAGGCAGCGACATTTGATACAGGTTATAACATTTGTGACAGCCATGTTCCACGGCCCCTCAAATGGCCAATAAAGCTGAAGTCGCTATTTATCTGATTTGATACAAGTGGTTTATAACGTTGCATATTGGAAACTACTACATGATACGGTAGCACTTTTGCCTTTTTAGATTTTTCTTGCAACTTTCTCAGATTGAATCTATAATAATAATAAGCTCAATTAATAGCAGGCTATATCAAAACACTACAATTTTGTCCTAAAATTCTGCTGGATTTCAGTCAATGATGTAAAAGAATTGTGATGCAGTTTAAGATTTGCTAACTTGACATTTCGTGTACGTGTCAGCTGTCATATTTAATTCATGAGAGAGATTGAAATAATCTGATCTTTGCGAATTCCCCTGGTCCAGAGCTGGGTGATTGCACTGAGGAATGATCCCATCTGAGTACCATTAAATTAATAGAAGGTTATTGGCCAATTAGTGTCTGCCCAGAAGGATTCCTGTGTTATTGTACCATTATCATGAGCAATAGGAGCCTGCAAGGTTTGGGAAATACATGGGCAGGTTAATATGGTTTGAAGAGTTCAGATTCAACTTTTTTTTTTAGGGGAAGAGCATTGATAAGAATGGGGGTGGGCAAGGGACATGGAAGGTATAAAAACAGGTGCTTCCAATGTAGTCTTCTTTGCTATCCTGTTGGGGTGGGGTTAAGTTTTAAGGTTATAAAATCATGACATTCTTGTTTGATTTTAATCTCCTACTCCACGGTTGTCAGGCATTAAAAAATGGGTAAAAGAAAAATGAAAATCATTATCGTAAGAACTGCATTGTTGCATCTAATGATGTTCACTACAAACTTTTGGTACATTTTGGTCATTTGTATGAGTATAGGAACTATTTTTCAGCATTATCCCCACTACATGTCAAAGACATTCATCCCCTTCATTTTTCTTAGTTTAAAATTCAATGGTATTAGCAGACCCCATTCAGGGTCTCAGTCTGAAACTGTGAAGTTCAGTAAATCTCTTCATACCAGACCTGAGAAATGTCAAGGGCAGATGTCTATACTATAAAATATACACGTACATGGTGAGGATTTTGTGCCACATTTCCAGGAGCATACTCATCAATAAAGCCTTTTAATAACAAAGATATGTAAGGGTTGATCCTCCCTGAAGTCAGGGGTGATCTCAATTAATGTATCTTTCTAACAGATTAAATCCTTTGGTATAGCCCCATCTCAACAGATATGCCATATTTGTGACAACTCTTCACTGATATTGGATTTATGAAAATGCTCTCAAGACGCCAATATGACAGCAGATAATAGATAGGAGATAATATCATGTGAACCAGTGTTCTAGCCAGCCTGAAATTTCCTTTCATCATCTCAATTTCTTTTGATGTAACATCATGTCCAGAGGCAAAGGTGCATGGCGCAACAATCCCAGGGAGAAATGTTGAAATCTTGACAGCTCTAAAATGCTATTTCCTGTAACTTGATGAGCAAATTTTGCTGGTAGGCTAAGCTTAGTTGAATGACATCTCTTTCCATTTCTTTACATGCTGATTTTTGTCCATCAAAAATGTCCACTGAGATGTAAAAAGTATGCAATTCAGCCCATGGCTGTGATGTACTTTACCTGATCAAAATGATCCAATATCATTCACTCAATCATGACGGATTGATCAAAATTTTTGTCCATCATTTATGGAAAGACAGATACTGGCTAGAACACTGATGTGAACTCTCTATAATGTAACTTTTACAGAAGAGGAAGAATTGACAAAAAAACATGACTATCTCACCTCCCCGATGAATAGCACGATGACACAGTCATCTTTTTCTTCGTCAGACAAACCGTCTAAGATGGAGGCCAGACTCTGCATCAGGTAGGACTCCTTCTCACGCTTTATCGTGGGGATGCCCAGAACAAACGACACTGCAGGAACAAGGTAGTGCTCATGTTAGAGTAGTCAACACATACAATTCATATGAACAGATCTATACACCAGTGGTAGATGTTTCACAACAAATGCCTAGAACTCCTAGAACATGTCAGTAGAAATTTATATCTCTTTAAATCTAGCTTTAGGGATTTCTTTCATGTCTTTCTCAAACTTCCTTCTACTTTGAATTCCAGGGCTAAGGTTATTTGTGACTCCAGTATCCAACAGATGTAAGTGAATAGTACACAGTTCAACTTGTATTGACGCCCAAGAAAATGCTGTCGTAATTTTCTAACTGAAGCTTGAAGGAAAGTTTTAAAATATCTGGCTAAAGTTGCATCATGCTGAAGGGTGATTATATGGACCAAAGGATTCAGAAAGATACCATAACCACAGATGTTAAAATATGTCAGCAGGTACGTCTGCATTGTTACTTTGCAGGTCGGCGCTAAACATAGATGGTCTTTAAATGTAAAGCATTCTTTCCTGTAAGTCTCTCCAGTGAATAAGTTTTAACAGTCTGTGAAAGTTAAAGCACATAGCAGTACACTTTATGTGTGCTACACCACTGTGACAGTCCATCATGGATTGTTTCCGGTTTCAGTACTGCATACCCCGGGGCAGCCGGCAAACATGTGAGGGCACTGGAGAGAAAGCCATCACGCCAAATGTAGCGTAAAAGCCTCGGCATGGCATGACGGATGTTTTGAAAGGAGCTGTAACGCCATATGTCAAGGGGAGATGCATTCTGTACCGTGACAGCTCTCTGAAAAATGCCACCCGTAAGCTTGCTACATCCTCTCTGGTATTTCTAGATACTTTAAACTGATACATAGGAATCTTGCTGGAAGGACCTTGGATTATTCCATTCAGAAAAATTAAACAGGGGTGGTCAAGAAACTTTTCATGAATGTAAAAAGGTGAGAATAGTTGAAGGATACCGTACGGGCTGAAAAGGACTCACAACACTTGCATGGGAACTGTGTAAGGGTATCTTTCTGACTATCTCCAATTTATCAACCTCTAGTATTCTATAGGTGGCACCAAAACTGGAATACCAGTAACACTTCTCCTCTCTGTAATCAATTCCTTTATCTGACTAATGTTGTGGGAAATCCTTGGCCATGTTTCAGCCTGAGTGGGGATGCTCATTAAATCAGCCAGCGTCTGTTAGGGAGGGAAGACTGGAAAATGTTACAGTAACTGTCACGAACATTACGACTTCAACTCCTAAATGTTACTGCTTGGAGATTAGCTTAATTCGTCTCACCTCATGTCCTTCCCGCCATAAAATGTCACACTCACAAGAATTACAATTTCAGTTCCAAAACAACAGTTTGGAAATTACTAGTAGCTGATCTCATCTCATTGTTCTTCTGTGCCCTAAAATACTACAGTCGTAAACATTTACGATTTCCACTCCCAAACAACTGCTTGGAGATTAGCTAACTGATACGTCTAAATCATGTCCTTGCCTGCCCTAAAATATTACAGTCACAAGTATTTTGGACTTTAACTGCCAAACAACTGCTTAGAGATTAGCTAAATGCTACAGTCACAAACACAACCACACAAAGACTCTCACCTTGCTTTGGTGTCCCAATGTATGTTCTGCCAACCAACTATTCGGAAATTAGGCATTAAAATGTTACAGTCACAAACATCAGGACTTAAAGTGTGCTGAGATTATGTCCGTCTCACCTCCAGTTCTGCCCTGGCCCAGGTGGAATGCGGGCTGCAGGGCGTCTGGTTTCTCCCGCAGGTGCGGCATGTAGTTGTAGATGCTGGGCAGCTGTAGGTCCCCCCCTCCCACCAGGCTCCGCAGCTTCCTCTTCGTCTCCTCTGTGGGAAGACAATAAAGTTCATCTATGATCTGTTTTCATCATAGCATAGTCTTTACCTGTGTGGCTTTGCCTTTGATGGCAGAGTGTAGATTAAAACAAGTCAGGGTTCGAAATACTGAGCGTATATGCACCTTAGTGCAGGAAAAATTGGAGCTGTGTAGGTATTTCTGATGTCTACCTGCACCGGTCTACATACTGGGCAGTAGGTGTATTGTGGATTTTTATTTGCTGAATTGAATGTTACTACCTATGAAGTAGGCAAGAGGTAAAGGTCATACCAGTTTATAGTATGATCCATACTTCTTAAATTCTGAGTAGTGAAGGCAAATATGTCTGGTGCAGGTACTTTTCAATGTACATGTATATACAGTAAAATTTATTAGCTTGGTGCCAGCCTGTTTGCTTAGTCTGACTTACAAGTTTTATTACACTGTGACCAGATGTTTGTGTAGGCTTTTATGGGGTGGGAGTAAGTAAGTTCATGTTGGCAGCCTGACACTTTTGACATCATTTGTGGCACTGGCCTTATCAAATGGACGGGCAGCTATGGAACAAAGGTTGAAAATCACTTCAGTTTGTTAAAAAAAAGAAAGAATACACTTTGTACAAATGAGTCCCTTTTCTATTAGAATGTAGAAGAAATACCAATTGGGAAGACATGAACTTCCTTCGTTATAACCCTTTATAGTCCCTTCCTTCACCTGCAGTCATCCTTCACCATACAATTTGAATTCAAAATAAACTGTGAAAGTAAAAACCTTCTTCTGTCTCCTGGTTAGATAGGTTTGCCCTGTTGTGGTGAGGTGTATCTCCTGCAAAAGTGCATGCATTGGATTAAATGTAGTTTCTCAATGGCATACAAAATGTAAATGGATTTTAGACTCATATTGTATATACCGGAATTGTGATTTGCAATGAGCCGTCACAGTGATTTACTTATCAGACATCAGTTGTTCAACAGTGACAAAGTTTGGAGATGGTAAGCCATGGATTTATTAAGAGATCTGATTTTATTTGAATCTTTATCCCTCACAGGAGACTGGATTAAGCATTTGTACAGGGATGCGCAAATCTCCACGACAGATTGACCCCATGTACATGTGTGTACATGTAGAGATTCAACATCTCTTTCCAATCAAATCCCTGCAGAAGTTTTCCTGGTAGGTGCAGGTTGCTGTGATGCATGTCATCCTGTAGCCCGAGGATACAGGCCACCGTTATCACCCAACAGGTGGCATATCTAATATCCCTCTGTCAGCCCTGCCATTAATCCACTCCTCCCACCCCATCCATCCCTCTCTCCCAATCATTCCATCTGGAATTGCCTGGCTATTATCACTTCATTCCCCACACGGAATCACACTCGCATTACCGCAGAAACTCATGTTCACGCACAATTAAGCCGGCTGCTATTTATGTTTCTCTTGTGCCGCGCGCACTGTATGCACAGGGAGTTCATCCATAGATGTGTAAACTGCAATTAAAGCTGAATCATTAGATTACAGTGTTTCCAAATGAACGTGTGAAAAGCAATCTACAAGACAGATGTGTAGTGCATGTAATAAAGGCTATCACGTAATGAAAGTCGTGTGATGTGGACTCCAGGGTATTGATCACTGAGGAGACCAAAATTAGACAATTATGGTTCCATCATGTTTCTTTTTATGATCTTTTAATTGTCAAGGCAAACAGAATGATAAACTGGGATTTTATAAAAGGTGAAAGAAAGCAGGAAAGCAATAATGATTTTATTGTCCCTTCAGGCAACTTTTCACCGTGGACCATTTATCAGCTGTATAATGGAATTTACCCAGCTGTATACAGAGGTTTGAAAGTTTTTATGAAACCTGGAAGACAACTTGGCGACAAG